CCCCCCCGTGCTGTGACCCTTTAGAGTTCTAATCATACTCTCAGATGAATCCTCAGAACGTATTTATGTAAATAAGACCCTGTGCTACATCTAAATAAAACAACGAAAACTGCTCCTGTTTCTGCATATCATTTCTTATTTATACTTTTTTTTTTTCAGCAGGGATTTTCAAATATTTACTCGATTCAAATATTTGAAAACTTCATTTCATTTATTCATCATAGAAAAATCCTTTTACAGGTTAAAATATAATTGGTAGGAGTGACAGCACTGTAGATGTAATAATTACACTAATGAAAAATACAAGACAAAAGAAAGAGTTTACATTCAGAGTTTTTATTTGGCTTGCTTCTTGCTTCTGAGGACTGGCTTCTTCCACAATAAGAATCCAGCATACACCGAAACTACTTTTTTTTACGGCACTTAAATCATTAGCATCAGTTGGTGTACAGCAGATATATTGGGCAGTGAATAAAATCATTGTTCCTTTAGAATCTGTCAGCCTGTACTATGTTTGGCCAAACTTCTGTCCAAACATAGTGTAAGACTCGAAGAACCTCAGGCGCTTTGATCTTCTCAGATACGGACAATACAAACAGTGTATTAACATACAGACATCTGTTTCCACATCTCACTGAGAGAAGATGCAGGAAAACTTTTTCACATTTGTTCCTTTTCATCCACTTCCTTCCCCTCACTCATCCTTCCCCTCAATCATCCTTCCCCTCACTCATCCTTCCCCTCACTCATCCTTCCCCTCACTCATCCTTCCCCTCACTCATCCTTCCCCTCACTCATCCTTCCCCTCACTCATCCTTCCCCTCACTCATCCTTCCCCTCACTCATCCTTCCCCTCACTCATCCTTCCCCTCACTCATCCTTCCCCTCCCTCATCCTTCCCCACACTCATCCTTCCCCTCACTCATCCTTCCCCTCAGCTCACTCAGAATGGTCAAAAGCATAATATAATGTTCTACATGAATGCAAGAGATATTCACAGTCATGTTGGGTATCATTTGAATTGTCTCCATGCGACTGGTACAATGGTCTTAATCTTACAAGAAGTAGACTAAAAGTTAATACAGATCCTAAGAGTTTAGAGATATGTTGCTTACTGTAGAGGGTGTGCCATTCCCTAGTGTCATTCAAGCAAATTACAATCTGTCCCCAAAAGGTGTAAACTCTCCACGTCTAGGCCTTAATCAATGCAAATTCCAATTGTTAGTTTCTGTCTCCACCTGGAAGATATTGGTCTTGGTCTGAGAAATTTGGCAAGAAGATCAGGGTGCTTCTGTAGCCAGATGAACCCATAGTGTCCACACACACTATACTATGCATTTTTTCTTAAGTCAGGAATACATCCTTTACTTTAGATTTATCTTTGAGGATTTGATGTCTTATGTATTATGCCAATTACATAGTCAATTCAGAGATATCAAATCAAATCAACATATTTACCTGACTGATAATAAATTGTTACATTTGATTTTATTCTGACTTACTCTGAGATTATTGTCCATAACACCGCAAATCTAAGTTCAGGTTAGTAAGAGACTAAAATGCAGCTTAGGTGGAGCAGAGGGCCACACCAACTGATGTTTTAGAGCTCCGACTAACACATTGACGTTAGTCATGTATACTTAGACTGTAGAGGCTAATCATGGGTTTTCCGTTTAGAGCAACAGTGTTGTTGTTGACTAAATAGGGGTGAGCCTCAACTTCTGATTATTGTAATATTATTCTAACTAAGTGTACATGGGAAACCATGGCATGATTATATAAAGTTACCATTAGAGGAAGTTAAGTTGGTCACCTTGGTTCTATGGTAATGGAATGGTCATGACCTCTGGTTAGATATAGTTTTACCTTAATTAGATGGTGGCGCATTCAGACGCAGCAAAAATATGAACTTTTTATGTTCTGTGTATTGTTTTTTTTACTTGCACGTAGTGTAGCAGACAGTGTGAGTGTTACATATAGCCGTGAGGTGTTATTAGACTGCTGATGCACAATCTCACTTTATTACACTATACTGTTGCTGTACTACTGTTACAGTTCTATTTATTTATTACTTATTGTTCTCTACTTGTTATCTGGTGTCTTAAAGAGCCACTAACACTATTTTGTTGCTCTGTACTACTGGTGCATACAATGACAATAAAGATTCATTCATTCATTTATTAAGTGTGTTCAGATCTATGGGGTCTAAATAATATATTCTAGAATGAGCAAAGTAGGTACGGGCCTTCTAGAATATTAGTCAATCGCCTCTGTCTAATGACCAAGACTGACAAGTTTGTGAGTACGAAATCTGTATACCCGGCCGGTATGAGACTCAGAAGTGTTATAGTAATCCGAATGAACAAGTACAATAAGACTAAAGAGTTAAATAGAATAATCAGATGTCTAGATAAATTATCCTATGAACAATCAATAATAATTGTCATTCTAACCTAAATTCGAGGTCATAATAAAATGGAGTCAGATTAGAATTTACTTTAAATGTAATTACTTTGCGCATTGAATAGACACACTGTAAACTTTCAACTACCACTGGATACCTTCGTTGGGCCAATTGGGTGGACCTTACAAAAGTAAATTTACAGATGCGGTCCTCGGTTTAAATGTGTAGTGCTGTTCCAAAACCTGACTGATCATTGACTGACTATGTGAATTTGACTACATGAATGACTACATGATTTACTGGAAGGCAACCATTGTCATCACTGTTTTTTTGTTTTTTTTTGCCATAAACAGATTTTACACTGGAAATAATAGACGAAGAAGCAGAAGACAGTGCTCTCGTGCAAATCTTTCATGCAAAAGCTTCAAAGACAACAAAATTTCTTATTTGAAATAGGCATGCATTTAATATTTCTATTTAAACAGTTTTGAGTTGGAGCTGTCTAATGAACTGCCTCTGAAGAGATAGGTGCTTTAGTGTTAAGAATTTCAGATCGTTCAGTCAAGCTGTATATTCTATGTTTTATTTTGGCCCTAAAGTCACCACGAATTCAAAATGGACAATTCTTATTTTTATGGAATGTTACAGTATTTATTATAAATGAATTATCCATTCCATCGTAATTCTTAATCAAAAACATTAATGTCCCCTCCCAATAGCATCCCTCCGTAAGCTCCAGCTGGGCAATAATCCAGCAACCTGTCACTCACTCTCCAGCCTGCAGTGACAACATCAGACTCTGGCTCTGCAGGGCCTTCTCAGTGTCGCTGTCATCGTAGATCATGGTCTGTACCTCCAAATGGTTTTTCATCAGTTTCACTGACAGGGTCTTATGGGGCAGCTTGCCAGCATTAAAGGAGAAGTAATAGGCTCCTGCTACTCTGCATTTGAATATACCTGAGCTCAAGTTGAAGTCGTTGCCGATGTTGACAAACTCTGTGTCGAAGATGATGGGCTGGTGCTCAGGGTATCCTTGATCTACTCCCACAATACTCTGAGTGCGGCCCACTGAGAATGCTGACCGCTGGCCGTCATCTTCCTCCTCTCCATCTCTCCCGTCCTCCTCTTTTATCTCTTCATCCCGTCTCTCTTCTTTCATACTCACAGCAGTGTCTTTGGTAACTGTATTTTCATGCTCAGACAATGAGTGATCGCTGGTTTTCGGTGGCTGATGGTCACTGTCATGATCTTTGCGTGTGGGTTCTTGGTAGCCATATACATCGGGGTAGATCAGGTAACCATTGAAGGTGGTGTAATGGCCCGTGTTGCTGTAGATAGCGTAGCGAGGGTCTCCGTGAAGACGAAGCCAGACGGTGTCTCCGAAATCAAGCTGCAGCATGGCGCTCTGGCTCTGCACCTTCCGCTCTTCTCCGGCGTTCTCGTCATAGACAATCGCCTGAACCTCATTGCGGTTCTTCATCAGCATGACTGACAGGTCTCGACGCGGGAACTTTCCCACCGTGAATGAGAAATAGTATGCGCCCGGAATCCTGCAGCGGAATAAGCCAGCCTTCGGATCGAAATCGCCACCTATGTTGACATACTCCTTGTCGAAGGTGACGACCATCTTCGGCCCTCCCTCCATGCTGCTGGTACGTGCCACAGAGAACGCGGACCGCAGCTCCACGGCGTCAGACATGCGGGCGAATGCCAATGCGGTGGTCACATGACACAGCACACGCAGCAGCAGGAGCCTGGTACCAGGCAGCATTTTAACTGCAGAGGGAATAAAGAATAATAAAACAGCTCTGTTAATTATCGTCGACAAAGCCGTGAACATAAACAAAAACTGTTTAACACTCTCATTTAAAACAGTTAAGCTTGTAAATGATAGCTGCTGCTCGTTATCAAAACATCAGCTCCAAAAAAAGAGCAATCATTATGCATACAAGTGCCAGCGGGAGGTGGGATCAAAACAGAACAGATCAGTGCCTTTAGTAGATACAGCAGGATGAGAGCTGTATTATCAGACCCTCTCTCTTTTCCCCTGAGATAAGCGGTAATAGGACACACACTGGATCAGCACATCACAGCAGAACACTAGAGGTGACAGAACACTGAGACTGAAATTTCAGATCAGTTCTGCACAGCTTTCGGGGGGTCCCATCCCCAAATCCCACTGCAAATTTTCACCCCATTTTTTTGTGTATCTATCATGGCAATCAATACAAAAAGATTACAAAAACATGTGGGTGCATTTCTGAAGCATTTTTATTTAAAGGGGTCATATGATGCGATTTCAATTTTTCCTTTCTCTTTGGAGTGTTACAAGCTCTTGGTGCATAAAGAAGATCTGTAAAGTTGCAAAGACTAAAGTCTCAAATCTAAAGAGATATTCTTTATAAAAGTTAAGAGTTAACCACACCTACCTAAAACGGCTCGTTCTAACATGCCCCCACATGTCTACGTCACGATGTGGGAAGATTGCATAACGCCGCCCAAATGTTGCCGCAAGCTTGCCTGCCGCACCGATCTCAAGCCCACTGGCCGCCGCTCACTCAAGCCGACCTCCGCTCACTCTAGCCCCCGGCCTCTGCTCACTCTAGCCCGAGTTTATAATAGGTTTTCATGTTTTTGAATCATCGCTCCGGCCGGACAGGGCATCACAGTATGGTAAGTGGCGTAACATTTCCGTCTCACGCTTGAGG